GGGAAAGGTTGTGGAAACACCTGACTGTCAGACTAAGGAATTGGGCCTGTGGGTATGGGCTTTAAGTCCCTAAATAACTTCACAACTTGTGCATCTTTCGCCAAGTTAGCCTCGTGCATTTCGTAACAGCTCTCAGATTAGATCCAATTGTGCTATCTCTGAGAGTTTGGGTTGAGAACTGCAGAAATGAAAGGTAGCAAGAATAAAATATGGAGTAGTCGGCGGGGAGGAAATCCATGATGCTAATAATAGCTAGCGTTTCTCCTTTTCAAAATGTAATTTCTCAGTGCTAAATATATAACTTCTCTCATTTAATGTTCACAAGTGTGAATCGTGAAAATGTGCTAAATACTATCATGATCCCTACTTTACCAATTAAAAAAAAAACAAAAAACCCTGAGGCTCAGAAAGGTTAAGTAGCTTGCCCAAGGTTGCAAAGCCAGGAGGTGACACAGGCAGAGAGAAAGCACAGACGATTTGACTTCAGTGTCTACATTTTAATTCAGTGCTAAATACCATGTGGAAAAGGACCCTGGGAACCTTGGCTCTTTGGTTCCAGGGATCAGTGGCAGGAGGCAGCTGCCATTGACTGAGACAAGCAAGGCTGTGGACCATGCCGAAGGCAAGCTGCTCTGGGTGGTGAATGAAGAGTTCAGCTGGGGACACGCTGTGGCGGAGGTGTGTGGTGAATATTCACAGGGAGGTGCGGAAATTCAAGCAGACCTGCAAAGAGGAAGCTGGACACTGAGGTCCGACTTCAGGGGTAGATCTTGTCAGCAGGTCACTACATTCAGACATGAGGGACCTGGGGGATTTTCAAACAAGTACGTGTATTTAGAGAAGACACCCAAGAACAGGACCATGGGGAGCTCTGACAATTGGGTGATAAGATGAGCAAGGACACCAGGAGCAGTGGCCAGGGAGGTGGAGGACCTGGAAACCAAATGAGGAGGATGCTTCAAGAAGGAAGGTGTGGCCTGCCGCACAGATTCAACTGAGATCAGATCCTCTGGGATAAGTGCTGAGACTTTTGGTATTTGGCAGCTGTGGGGAGGGCAGGGGGCAGGCACAGCATCATGGCAGCCTTAACCAAAGGTTGAATGGAGTGTGTTCAAGGGAGAAAAAAACAAAAAACAGGAAGCAGGAACATTGAGCATTGTACTTAATATCCGTAGCCTGAGCAAATTTAAGGTTCAATGTACTTATCATGATATCACTATAAAGATCATTTTTCTTATTAGGTTATATGCTCCTCAAAGAACTAGAAATGTGATTTATCTTTCATGCTTTGCACAAGGTAGGTGTTTACATAATAATGGCAGAATTTAACTAAAATTTTAAAAGAAACATTCTCTTTGTCCCACAGTACATGTAACACTTTATGCACCCCCCACCTGGCACTTCCCGGCACAGACACCTCTGGGGAGGACCATGTGGAAAAGAAGAAACTTAGTGTGTTTTTCTTTTTTTAAAAAAACCAATAAAGGTCAAATTTCCATTGCATGATCACTTTGTGCATGCGTGATGAATCTCTTAAATGCTTATCTTAGAACTTGGGTTCAGGAGGGGGAAGAGGGGAAAAACCTCAGCCCTGCCAACACGTTGGTTTGTGTGAATCACAGCTCAGTGGAACCTTTCAGGCATATAATTTATCTTTTCTTTGGCCTGTGTAGTAAAGGCTTCATTTGTTCGTGAATTCTTGCCTTGTTTTAATGATGTGATGCTCTGAATGTAGTTTTATGAGGCACAAAAATAAGATTGTCATTCTGAAAACAAAGAAGATTTGTGTGCTTCCCCCAGAATGAAATGGTGGCATCTCTTTCCCAATTCACAGTTCTGTGGCTTTGTGGCTGGAATTCCAATCTACTGAGGAGCAAGTGGTGAAAGTTGGGGGGGGGGGAGGGTTGGGGGAGGGGGAGGGGGACAGCTGATGAGCCCAGAGCATAATTTACCCTAAGAATTCTGAATCAATACATTGCATCCTGTCTATGCATAGGACATTTTCTGGTGGTGTCCCCACCCAGAAGTTTTATTCTGGGAAGTTTTATTCTTACTTTCTGAGGGCTGTGTTCTCTCATGGCACTTACAGAACAATTGGTCCCCCCTCTAAATACAGGACTGTGTAGCCAGGGATCTGCTGAGAAACCTTAACAAATCAGAAGCCCATTTTGGGGGTTAAAAATTCTTCAAGTCGTGTGCATTTGAAAATCACACAAGTTCCCAGGTTGACGAAGAAATGCCTATTTCTTCACTTTTTTTCATGTTTTATGTGTACATCATGCAGATTGAGCACTGAATATTTCAAATTACCACCAACCCAAGATGCAAATTCGCAGCATATTGTAACAAAATCTAATGTAGATTTCATTGGTAAATTGGAGGGCACTAGCTCACTTATCCAGAAAGGAAAGCAGGTTATAGTTTTTGGGTAACCTGAGAGATTACTGTAATTTCACAATATCACTCCTGGGTTTGCTGTGCTAGATAACTCCCAGGGTTCCAACACAAGCCCCCACCTTTGGGCTCAGATCTCACCTTGAACTCCATTCTACAAATAGAGTTGCCATCCCTGAGAGGGTTTTTTCAATAAAGGAAGCTGAGATAATAAAGCACAACTCTGAGCCAGGTGTGGTGGTGGCACACATCTGTAATCCCAGCAACTCAGGAGGCTGAGTTGAACTTTCATAAGTTCAAGGTCAGCCTCAGCAACTTAGCACGATCCTGTCTAAAAATAAACTAAAAAGAGTTGGGAATGTAGTCAGTGGTAAAGTGCCCCTGGATTCAATCCCCAGTATTGCAAAGCAAAAACAAACAAACAAACAAACAAAATGAAACAAGAAAGAAATCAAAACCCAGAACTTTTCTTAGATGAACAGTGAGTTGAAAGGGCTGGAGTTTTATGGTCACATACATTCAGGATCAGATGCAGAACTGGCTTACTAAGATGGGGATTTGGATGAGTCACCAGGCAATCGGGCAAAGATGGGTAAAATAGCCCTTCATTCCTATCCCAAATAACTCAGTCTTTTCCTGACTCAGGCAATGGATGGGCTTTGATGCCTACACTCCAGAAATACCCGACTATCAAAAAAATGGCAACCTCAGAATAGCTTTGGAAGCCATGGCCAAATGACAACTCCACAGTGCTTCTCTGCTCAGGCAAAGGAAGCAAGCAGTCTCTCTAATGCTCATGAGAACCAAACAGCAGTTGACAGCCCCAGACCAGGGGCTCTTAGGCTCCTGGTGTGTCCATCTGATCCACTGCTCCCTGGCTTGGGGGGTGGATCCTCCTGAGTCTGGCCACCCCCCAGCATTGCTTCCTCAGCACAGCACTGAGCACTCTGAACAGCACTGAGCACCCTGGACAGCCATCACAGGTTTATTTATTCGTGTTTTCTTACTGGACACCGAACTCCTTAGAGTAAACACCCTAACCCTGTCCACCACAGTAGCTCTGTGCCTCAGGCTGCTCCTGGGTACATCTGAAGACTCACTTTTTATTAATACAAAAGCTATTCAATTGACTCCTTGAACTGGTACAGCTTGGGAAGTGGGCATTTCAAGGGACTTTTCTTTTTTAACTTCTGAAAAAAAATTTGAAAATACTTTCAGTCAAAATTTATAGGACTGGGCATGGGGGTGCATGCCTGACACCCCAGGCAGGAGGCTGAGGCAGAAGGATTGCAAGTTTGAGACCAGTCTCAGCAACTAAGGCTCCAAGTAACTTAGAGAGATCCTGTCTCAAAATAAAAAATAAAAAGGGATGGGGATGTGGCTCAGTGGTTAAGGGTCCTGGGTTCAATCCACAATACCACGCCCCTCCCTGCAAATTTATAGGGACAGCAGAATACTGCCGGTAAAAGTCTTGACATGTGAGCCTTACTATGTTTTCCCAATTTCAAATGTCCAGAATATTTGGCTGGTGTCTAATAGTCTCCATATGATGCTTTACAGCACCCCAGATGCATTAAAACCATTGATTAATGTGATACTCATTTTCTTTAAGAAAAACAATATATGCACAGTGCTTAGAACACAGCCTTGAATATTATAAGGACTCAAAAGATGAAAGCTAGTGTTATTAGCATCTTAGCTGTACATCATTACGTTGTCATTAAGACAAATATATTGACAGTGGTGATATTTAACCATGTCATAAAACCTGAGCCCATCTGATTTTTTTCTTTGTTCTATATTTAACTAGAAGCTCGAACTTTATGCCTACGTTTTGAAAAAATATTGTTATTGAAAATGTCTGTTAACCAAGAAAAGGAGTGCTTCAAAAATACCATGTATTGACTTCTATTTCCTTCCACATTCAAGGAGTTATTTTCCTGCTCAGAATACAAACAAACTCTTTCAAGGTTAAATGCTCTCTTTACTGTCAAAAGAGCTTGGCTTTCTTTGCTCAAGATTCAGGATATCACCTTAAAAAAAATCTATATTTTTACAAAAGTATTAATTTAGCTTGTTGGAAAGTAACCAATACATAAAGTAGTCTGTGGAGCTGTAAACGACACCTTCCTGCAAGAGATAGTTAAAGATCAATCCAGGTTCTTCTGAGCAAAGCATGAAATGTGTCCCAGCTAATGCCTGAAACCACACCGTATGTCAAACACGCTGCTGAGACCAGGCAGGGGATTTAAGTCTTTTAGGAACCATTTTTATTCCACTAATGCCTTTCTGTCCTGACTCCAGTGATCACAAATGCGACCTGTCTGCCTGGCCTCTGATAAATGGAAGGACGGGTTCATCTGCATGTAACTCACCTTCTCTTTTTTTTACATAAAACAGATGTCCCGGCTGTTATTGTTCTCCAAACAGATGTTTCTGCCCAAAGAAACAACCCTCTGCTATTTGTCCTAGAGGGGTGCACGGCTTGACCCCTGTCTAGGACCCCGAGTGACTGTAGGGTGATGCACGTGCCCCTGTCTTGGGTCTTGGCCCATCAGCGCCTGCAGCGCACCCTGGGCGCCCCGGGTCCTGGCACGCGCTCTTACCTTCCCTGCAGGGACCGCATCGCCCTGCCCGGGGCCTCCGGGGGCCTCCTCCGCCTGGTCCTCGCTCTCTGCCCTCCTGGCCTCCTCCTGGATGTCAACTGCTGCCTTGTCCCGTCCTTTGTCCAGTTTGAATAATTTGTCAAAAAAGCTGGTGTCCTTGGTGGGGGCCGCCCCTGACTCGGGTGCCCCGGGGGCAGAGAGGGCCTGGTCCGGGGCAGGGGTCCGCACCGGGGTTTTATCCGTGGCCCTGCCCGGTGCAGCTGCGCCCGGAAGCGCGGGCTCCTCACTCGGGTCTTTGTTCCCCGGAGCGTTATTGGAGCTGACATCAAGCTTCGCGGGTCCGCTGGATGAATCCGTGCCTTGGTCTCCGGTACGTCCTGGTACAGGCCGAGAGAGAGTCAAGAAAAAACGAGATTTAGCAGCTGGTGCCTCGGGTTTGGCCTCTTTCCCAAGATTCTTTCCGTTGGCATCGGCCACAGCGCCCATCTCCATTGTCTTGGGGGAAGAAGTGGTCACATTATCCTCCTGCATGCTTATTCCCAGATCCACTGTAAACACAAACATAAACAGAGGTCATTCAACGAGCCAGGAAATTCCAGGATGAATAATGGACTCCAAACTGTTGATACACAAAGGCCGCGATGCAAACGGGGACCTTGCTTTCTCCAGCTGCTCCGCAAAGCAGAAGTTAGCCATCCAGATGTCCAGTGACCTGCTCTTCCCAGGAGGGGCACGGCAGGTTGGCCGGAGGGCAATCCCTAGGGGCCAGGCACTGCCTGAGTGACACCCAGCCACAGTTGTCTTCTATCTCCACAGGAAGATGGGAGAAGCATTTATCGGACAGTGGTTAGGAGCCTGGATCTCCGGAAATAGATTAAGGTCTTTGGAACTCCCCAGTGTTAACTTTTGGGATCAATCATTCTTTATTATGGAGATCTCTGGCCTGGTACTATTGGGTGGATGCTAGTAGCATTCCCTTCTTGTGACCACCAAACACATCTCCAGATTTTGCCCAATGTCCCTCAAGGAGACACTCATGTTTAAGAACCACTGAGTTAGACTCTATTTGAATCCAAGTTATTTATTTTTTCTCTGCTTCAATTTTCTAGCAAAATAAGGCAAATAATAGAACCTGCCTCATAATTTTGTTAGGAAGATTACACGAGTTGATATTGTTAAAGTACAAAGGAGGGGGTCAGTACTATAATAAGTGCTCCACAAATGTAGTGAATCTTAGCCAATACCATTACTCAGGAGTGAGAAGCTGATATCCAGAGAGGTTGATCTACCTTCTCAGGGCTGCCCAGCAAGCTGGGAGGTAGCTGAGCCTGGCACAGGTAGAACCCAACTCTTAACTTCATTGCTTTCTCATGTTAGCATGAACAGTTAAAAGTGTTGCAGATTGCTGGGCGCTGTGGTGCATACCTGTGATCCTAGCATCTTGGGATGCTGAGGCAGGAGGATCACGAGTTCAAAGCCAGCCTCAGCAAAGGTGAGGGTCTAAGCAACTCAGCAAGACCCTGTCTTTAAATAAAATATAAAATAGGGCTGGGGAGGTGGTTCAGTGGTCGAGTGCCCCCGAGTTCAATCCCTGGCACCGCCCCCATCACCACCAAGAAAAAGTTTTGCAGATTGATACAAGTAATACTGGCAAAGTTTGCACTTTGAAGACCAGCTAAGCAGATGTCTGCCCAGGAAGGCTAGTTGGACCTCAGACCCCAGTAGAACTAGACCTCTTCCCTGGAGGAGCACTTTCCCAACATCCGCCTGTTTGTGCTTTGCCCTCTGCCTCAACTTAATTGAGCTGCTTTTCCCTTTAAGCAGTGTGTTTTGGGGAAGTGGGGTGGCGGAGGATAGCAAGAATTTGGGAATCACCATTAAAGATCTTCTGGACCCTCCCCTGATGAACCGTGTGGTCTTGAGCAAGTCTCTAAAATTCTCAGCATTTCCTCATTTGTAAAACGGGAACATTTGCGGCTTCCTCGCAGGCTTGTCATGACTGACGCACAAAGGACTTGGCACAATGCCTTTACCACGGCGTGCACCTCATAAAGTGACAGGCCCCTGGTTACTTTTAAGACTCCTCCCCTGCCTTTGATAACACGGCATTGTGTTTGATACACTTGGTCAGGAGATGCTTCTTAATATGTTGGTAGGAAGACAGACAAGGATAAAGGGAAAGGGAAGGCTCCCTTGCTTATGTTGTACATTAATATATGGCAATCACCCCCCCCCCATTGGTAATTGTTTTTTGCCAAACTCTAGTATCTCATAGTGTCTAAAGTCAGGAGCAAACACACAGGAGAGAGGGTGCTGGATTCTTGCTTAGCAGGCAGCCTCCTCCATCAACACGGAGGGGCAGGGAAGTGGTAGAAGACCAGGCCAGAGGCTGGTGAGTGCTGGGGTTCCTCCTACACCCCGACCTCAAGGCCCCTGGCTCTGGCTGCTGGCTGTTCTCCACCTTTTACCTGTGGCCCAGGAATTGGTACTGGAGGTAGGTGCTGCAGGAGAGAGAAGGACAGAGGGAGAAGTGACAGATGGAGCAGGGCACCTGGTGAGCCCAGGAGGCAGCTCTGACACATTCAGAGAGGATATAAATGACTTGTGGGCATGGGCCACACCAGGAGCAGAGGAAACAGTTGACAAAAAGGGAGAGGCTGGGGGCAGAACAAGGAAGGGACTTTCAAAATGCCAAGAGCATCAACTGGCTCCTTTCAGTCTGCTTTCTCTGCTCCTCACTCCCTGGCTGGGAACCACAGAACTGGTTGTGAGAGTGTCAATGCCAGAGACATTTCTTTCTGTGGAAAAGAAGCCCAACGTCCCATGGATAGACTTTTTAAAAAAGTACCAGAATTTTGCTTTGCTAAAGGGCGAATCCCATGTATATTAACAGATGTAAACAATAGCTCTTGGTTTTCTTCAATATAAGGAGGCTGATTCATAGTAGGGTAGGAGGGGGAGCATGGGAGGAATAGATGAACTCTAGAGAGGGCAGAGGGTTAGGAGGGGAAGGGAGGGGGCATGGGGTTAGAAATGATGGTGGAATGTGATGATCATTATTATCCAAAGTACATGTATGGAGACACAAATTGGTGTGAATATACTTTGTATACAACCAGAGATATGAAAAATTGTGCTGTATATGTATAATAAGAATTGTAATGCATTTTGCTGTCATAAATAAATAAATAAATAAAACAATAGCTCTTGGTATCGAGAATCAGCAAGGTGTTTTCAATGACTTAATAAGAACTCAGTGTCCTTAGATGGTACATTCCATGACCACTGAAGCTCCAACTCCAATCCCCGGTCTATCACCTGGGTTTCCATTTTCCTTGCTAAGATGCTCAAGTCCCAGGTGGGCACATGATCTAAGCTTAATTAATAAAAAATAAGTCCTGGGTCTTTTGCTAAACCTACCAGAAGAGAATTGTGCCCTTTATGCTGGGGTTGGCAATCCACCAGGTCATACATCTAGAGGTGGTGCTGGCTTTGGCTACAACATTGGGGTAGTGACCAACAGATGAAGGCAGAGCCAGGAAATCCAGAATGTAGACTCCCAATGATATCATTTGGACATCTGGATCCAGCTGTGCCTGAAATTGGATTTTAGTGTCACATGAGCCAATATTACCTCCCCGCCTCCTTGCTAGTTTAAATTGAGCACATACTCAGTGATTCCAGAGAGAATTTCTGGGAATTGGCCAGTATCTGTTTCTCTTGTTATTTAGTAGGAATCAACTCTCCCCTAAGGGAGCGGTCTCTAAGCTCTTCAAATGTGTCCAAAGAACCAGTGAGCTCTGGGAAGTTGGGGGTACATGAAATGCATTCTCTAACATTTCATCTTAACAAAAAGGGAGAAAATCCATAGGGGAAAGAGAGATTACAGTCATCTGAGACCTTGGATACCAACTCTTAAAACAGATAAAATATGTTCTAAAACACACACACACACACACACACACACTCACACAACAACAAATCTGTGTGAATTGAGTTGGGAGAAATGCCGTTGGAGTTACAAGTTTTGTCCTCTTGCAAAGATAGGGCATATTTACATGCTTCTCCACATTATCATGGAAGAAGTACGTTCCTTCTAGAAGACTGGAACTGAACTTTCAGTTCCTATGAAAAATCTTGGGGGAAACCCATCTTGAATCTGGTTTCAATAAAAAAATGTTCTTGGAAAGCAGACTGATGACATAGCAGAGATTTTACTTTTCATGGAAGAGAAAAAAGTCTATTAGAGTTTAAAGAAGATAAAAGGAAATCAAGTAAGAATATTTGCAAATGGCAGCTCCCAAATACTTAGAAGGTGAAGCTGAAAAGTTTGACCTCTTTCATGCAGAAAAGGTAGTTTATACTGTGCATGTGTTCTTTTAAAGGAAGTGGATTTATCTAGATGTGTGATTGGAAACAATCCCAGGAACATCTGCGGGTAACTGTAAAGAACTTAGATTGTGGATCAGAGGGACCCAGTTTTGACTTGCAATCTCTCAGTCACTAATTGGGTGGCTGGTAAGTTACATGGAATCTTTGTGCCTCAGTTTTCTTATAAAACGGTCACGAAAGTAACAGAGCCTTCCTCAAAGGCCAATTGTGAGGATTAATCAAATTATTCCCTATAAAGTGCCTGACACACGCTGGTGGGTGGGTGATGTTCAGGAATCAGTAGTTAGTTGTCTTTGTTCTATTTTTATCCTATTACTATGATTATTTTTTTCTATTTTTAAATCTAGGCCAGAAGGGGAGGAATGATTCAAGTGGCTTTACCTGCAAACTCGAGTGCTCTGGAAAGGCTTTTAAGAGCAAGAAGCCAGGGGCTTCTAGAATATCCTCATCATCTGCCAAGCACCAGGTCTTCTTAGTCTATACAGGGGGCTTCATCAGAGTTCTGAGGGTGCATGTACACCTGCGTTGGTATTGCAGTATTCAGAACTTCCAAGGAAGGCTTATCGGCTGTTGCTGCTGTTTTTCAAGTGTCAGAGCTGAAATTTTCACTTGGTGCAACACTCCCACGTTCTGGGAGTGTTCCAGGAGCCAGGCAGCCGGGAGTATGTGCCGTGTGAAGAGGTGATTCATGAAGGCACCTTGACATCGCCACAGGCTGGGTGCTGTGGCACCCCCACTGTACAGGTGGGGAAACTGAGGTCGGAGGAGAGAAGTTTCTAACACTGTCCAACTCATAAGGGGTGGAGTCAGGGTTAGACCCATGTTTGCCTGATTCCAACGTTTCAACTCATAATGACACAGGGTAACAGGAAAGGAAGGAGAACGGGAAAGGAGGGGAGAAGAATGGGTTAATAGCATGGACGGATCTCCAAGAAAAACTACACACAGATGTGGGGGGTGGGGGGGTGGTATACATTCTCACATCTAGGAAACACTGGGATATGATTTTTGTTTTAAACAGAAATTAGGTGATATCATTTTCCTGAAAAAAAAAGAAAACATACAAAGAAGGCCTCACCCTGACTAAAATCCAGTCCCGACACGACCCTGGGCCGGAGCCCCTAGAACCCCAGGTCACACTGTGCTCTTCCTCACA